ATGCAGTTTAGGGGTGTGTTGGTATTTATTGTATCAGTAAGCGTTCTTTTCTACTCATCTTGTGGGGTTTAAGAAAAAAAAGAATGGAACATAATAATATTAAGTCCATGTGAAAGAACTATCCACGTGTGCAAATGCACGTCCACACACACATACATGCACACATATACACACACTTTTGCACCCCCCACATTGTGACTATGGTCTCTAATACATCGTGCCATATTTGGCTTGTCCTTTGGATAGGAAGGCAAAGATACTCATGTCCTGCTGAGGGCTGGGCCCTGACTATGAAGGTGGACCAGGCATTTACGCATGTCTACCTAGAACAGCACCCCGACTTTCCAGCACATTGCAGGGTCATCTGGCTTCCTGTTCACTGCTACTTAGCCTCCCCTTTTTCATGATTAGTTCTTAAAGCCTGAACTGACCTGACTCAGTTCATGCTGGAAGCTTTGGAAAACTAATCCTGCCCTGAAAAGCAATGCTCTTATTTGCAGAGAGACAAATTATTTATTGATTTTGATTTCAGTGGAGTTTTTAGATTTAGTGGGGCTGCAAAGCAAGATAAGTCACATGAGTAGGAATTAATAGTGACACAATTCATTATTAATGAACAAGCTGATCTGACACATTCTGTAGGAAGCAGTTTTTGCCTGTTTAAACTCAATGTTTTCACGAGTTTTTCAGTTTCTTTGTTTATTCCTAAATGGCCTAGTAAGTGAAGCTTTGGTAAAAGTTGAGTCTTTTCTCAAGTATTTTTATACCGAAATATAAGTAATGACAATACATTATTTTACAGATTTCCATTAGTCATCTTATTACCTTGTTACATCTGAAGAGTTTTAAACAATTCTCCAATTCCCATTTTTCTCCTTTCACTACATTGCTGGACACTTTCCTGATTTAGAAAAGACAGCATGTGATCTCCCATTCACATGGCTTGGCAGGATTAACATAGTAAAAATGGCCGTCTTACCAAAAGCAATCTACAGATTCAATGCAATTCCCATCAAATTAACAACACAATTCTTTACAGACCTGGAAAGAAAAATTCTCAACTTCATATGGAATAACAAGAAACCCAGAATTGCTAAAACAATCCTCTACAATAAAAGATCTTCAGGAGGTATCTCCATCTCTGATCTCAAGCTGTACTATAGAGCAACAGTTATAAAAACTGCATGGTACTGGCATAGAAACAGAATGGTGGATCAATGGAACCAAACAGAAGACCCAGAAATAAACCCACACACTTATGGACACCTGATTTTTGACAAAGGTGCCAAAACCATACAATGGAAAAAAAGATAGCATCTTCAACAAATGGTGCTGGTCTAACTGGATGTCTACATGTAGAAAAATGAAAATAGATCCATACTTATCACCCTGCACAAAATTAAAGTCCAAGTGGATCAAAGACCTCCACATAAAACCAGACATACTAAATTGGTTAGAAGAAAAAGTGGGGAATACCCTAGAACTCATTGGTACAGGAGAAAACTTCCTGAACAGAACACCAACAGCACAGGATCTAAGAGCAACAATCAACAAATGGGACCTCATGAAACTGAAAAGCTTCTGTAAAGCAAAGGACACCGTCATCAAAACAAAGTGACTGCCTACAGTTTGGGAATCTTCACCAACCCTTTATCTGATAGAGGGCTAATATCAAATATATATAAAGAACTAAAGAAGCTGAGAAGCAGCAAACCAAGTAATCCAATTAAAAATTGGGGAACAGAGCTAAACAGAGAATTCTCGACAGAGGAATAAAGAAATGCTCAACCTCATTAGCCATTAGGGAAATGCAAATCAAAACGACCCTGAGATTTCACCTTACAACCATCAGAATGGCCAAGATGAAAAACTCGAGTGACAACACATGCTGGAGAGGCTTTGAAGAAAGGGGAACCCTACTCCACTGCTGGTGGGAATGTAAAATTGTACAACCACTCTGGAAAGCAATCTGGCACTTTCTCAGACAACTAGAAATAGCGCTTCCTCAAGATCCAGCCATACCACTCCTAGGCATATATCCAGAAGAGGCTCAAGTACACAACAAGGACATTTGCTCAACCATGTTTGTAGCAGCTTTATTTGTAATAGCCAGAAGCTGGAAACAGCCCAGATGCCCCTCAACTGAAGAATGGATACAGAAATTGTGGTATATCTACACAATGGAATATTATTCAACAAGGAAAATAAGAAAATCATAAAATTTGCAGGTAAATGGTGGGACCTGGAAAGGATCATCCTGAGTGAGCTGTCCCAGAAGCAGAAAGACACACATGGTATATACTCACTCATATAGACATGTAATATAGAAAAAACCTACCAAAGTCTGTACATCTAAAGAAACTAATCAAGAGAGAGGACCCTGACTAAAATACTCAATCCCCATCCTGAAAGGGAAAGAGGAAGGACATTAAAAGAATAAGAAAACAGGAAACAAGCAAGAAACCAGCCACGGAGGGCCCCTGAAAGCCTCTGCCCTGCAGATGCTGAGACTTATGGCCAATTGTCAGGCAATGTTCATGGAATCTTATGAAGAAGTGGGAAATAGTAAAGATCTGGAGAGGACAGGAACTCCACAAGGAGAGCGATAGAACCAGAAATTTGAACACAGGGGTCTTCCCAGAGACTCATACTCCAACCAAGTACCATGCATGGAAATAACCTAGAACCCCTGCACAGATGTAGCCCATGGCAGTTTAGTGTCCAAGTGGGTTACATAGTAATGGGATGAGGGACTGCCTCTGACATAATCTGATTGGCCTGCTCTTTGATCACCTCCCCCTGAGGGGGGAGCAGCCTTACCAGGCCACAGTAGAGGACAATGCAACCACTTTTGATGAGAACTGATAGACCAAGATCAGAAAGGAGAGGAGAACCTCCCCTATCAGTGGACTTGGGAAGGAGTATGTGTGAAGAAGGGGGTGGGAGGGTGGGATCGGGAGGGGAGGAGGGAGGGGCTTATGGGGGATAGAAAGTGAATAAAGTATAATTAATAAAATAAATAAACAAAAAAGAAAAGACAAGACAGCATGTGTGACAGAGGCCAGGAGGCTGCGGCTGAGTCATGAGCATGTAGGGATCAGCCCGGGAACAGATCAAAGCAGAATTGGAAAAGACAGGCACCAGATGCAGCCCTGAGCAGACCAGCTTCCAGTCAGCCATGAACACCTGCTTGGAGGTGACAAGGCAGCCTGTCTTACCTGACTTTGAGTCAGGGCTGAGACCTATCAAGCAGCAGCTTTTCTGCTTCTGCTTTAAGAGTAGATCTTGATTAGTTTCTTTAGGTGTACATATTTTAGTAGGTTTATCCTTCATTATATGTCTAATATCTACTTATAAGTAAATATATACCCTGTGTGTCTTTCTGCTTCTGGGATAACTCACTGGGGATGATCTTTTCCAGCTCCCACTATTTACCTACAAATTTCATGATTTCCTTGTTTTTTATTGCTGAGTAACATTCCATTGTGTAGATTACCACAATTTCTGTATCCATTCTTCAGTTGAGGGGCATCTGGGTTGTTTCCAGGTTCTGGCTATTACAAATAAAGCTGCTACAAACATGGTTGAGCAAATGTCCTTGTTGTGTACTTGAGCCTCTTTTGGATATATGCCTAGGACTTTGACTAAAATGCTCAATCCTCATTCAGAAAGGCAAAGAGGATGGACATCAGAAGAAGAAGAAAACAGGGAACAGGACAGGAGCCTGCCATAGAGGGCCTCTGAAAGGCTCTGCCCTGCAGGGTATCAAAGCAGATGCTGAGACTTATGACCATCCTTTGGGCAGAGTGCATGGAATCTTATGAAAGAAGTGGGAAATAGTAAGACCTGGAGAGGACAGGGGCTCCACAAGAAGAGCAAAAGAACCAAAATAATCTGGGCAAAAGGGTCTTTTCTGAGACTGATAATCTAGCCAGGGACCATGCATGGAGATAACCTAGAACCCCTGTAGCCCATAGTAGTTCAGTGTCCAAGTGGGTTCCATAGTAATGGGAACAGCGACTGTCTCTGACATGAACTGATTGGCTTGCTCTTTGATCACCTTTTCCTGAGTAGGGAGCAGCCTTACCAGGAAACAGAAGAAAATGAAGCCAGGCCTGATGAGACCTGATAGACTAGGATCAGAAGGAAGGGGAGGAAGACCTCCCCTATCAGTGGACTGGGGGAGAGGCATCGGTGGAGAAGGGGGAGGGAGGGTGGGATTGGGAGGTGAGGAGGGAGGGAGCTACAAGGGGATACAAAGTGAATAAATTGTAATTAATAAAAATTAAATTAAAAAAAAAGAGAAGACCCAGGGTAAGGCGTGATAAAGACCTAAAGCTTGGGGAACTTTTGCTCTCGCTCTATTATTTTTCCATTTCTCCTCTTCTGATCTTTCTATCAAAGATCAGATCTTCATGCTTGCTTCAGCAACACACATGCTAAAACTGGGATGACTCAAGAAGGTTTCCATGGCCCTGAAGAAAGATGGCACACAAGTTTATGAGTGTTCCGTGTGTCTCAAAGAAGACATCTTTTGTAAGAAGAATTTATAAGACCAGTTTAATTTTGTTCTTCGGTGGACTTAGTGGACTTCTATTTGAACCAGAAATATAAAACTTCTCTAAGTTTTACACTTTTTCTAGTGCAACTCTTTAATAATAATTTATAAAGCACTGCCAGGCTCTATAAGCTGCTCAGAGACAGCCAACCCTTCCAGAAGCTTCTTAGGATAAGATGTCAAGCCATTAGTAACTACCCCGACAGTAGAGATAAAGGAGAATTGCCCTGGGTATGTGAAGGGCACAGCGCTTTAACTCTGACAGCAAATAACCACCTAAGCTCTTGGTGAATTCTGCCTCTCTGTGAAAAACTTTTATATATTTAACATTTATAGTTACTTGCCCTAAAGCTATTTTAATTGTCTCACTGCTGGGAATAAGATTTCATTATTGTATATAAAGTCATGAATACATTTTCTTCTTTGTCGGGAGTGATAACAAGCTGTCAGGTAAGTGTCTGTCTGCTATTTCACCTGCTGCTTCTTTGCAGCTTCCTCTTTTGGCTCACAGCCAATATCTGCCCTCACATTTGGCATTTTGCGGCACCTGTTTCTGCCACAGCCCATTGCCCTTCTCAACTTTCTTTAGGAAATGAGCTGTTTTGCTTAGTCGAATTTCTTTCCATAATTGTCTTAGATTGCAGTTCATTACCAGAGAAGACTCTCAGCCTTGACTGGTAACACTGCTGAAGACATCGCTACGCTGTCTTTCTACATGATTTAAAATATGCATGTCACTGCAAAGTAAACGTCCATGTAACTAGTTGCCTCACTCTTTATCGTTTTTGCTTCACACGTTAAAGAAGATTCATGCCATAGTTCTTGGTGAGATTTGACACACAGCCTCCGCTTTGAAAGCTTTCCTGTTGTTAAGACACTACTGCTTGTGGGTTAGTCTAAAGTCAGAGGTCCTAACGGCACTTAGCAACACCGGGTCCTTTAGTGTAACCATAGCTTATTGTTTGACTAGGACATATTTATTGGAAAAATTAATATTGTTTTACACATGTACCTGTGTGTATGTGTGTCCACATGTGTGGAGGCAACATGAGTACTGTCTGTGTGTGTGGGGGGTATGTTGACATTGGGACTCTTCCTTGATTGTTCTCCACCTGATTCATTGAGCAGGGTCTCTAACTTCAACTAGGAGCTTTCCAGTACAGCTAGTCAGTTCAGCCAGCTTGTTTGGGGTATCTCCTGTCTGTGTCTTGTGTATACTGGGATTAAAGGCATACTACCACATCTGTCTTATTGTGGGTGCTGGGTATCAGAACTCGGGTCCTCAGGTTTGTGGACCTACTGAGCCATTTCCCCAACTCAAAATTAATGCTAGTTTTAATTGA